ACCAGAGCCAAACACAAACTGGGACAAACGTGTGTCAGCTGATCTTCAGACTTCCACGCCGCCGTGTTTTCACAGATTACATGAATTATGAAGCCTGTCTGTGACGTTTGACAGGAAACTGCTGCAGCTCGTTTGTGCGCTTCATGTGCTCGGACTCCAGCACCGTGAATATTCCCGAGCTGGAACGTGTTTTTCCGACTTTTGCCCGCTCTGCTGACATTCCTAATTGGTCAGACATCAAACACCTGCTGGAGGCTTGCGCCACAGCTGAAAGCTGCTTTAATGTTCACGACAGCGTCGGGGTAAAGAGTGCTGCCAAACTAAATAAACCACCAACGAAGAAGTGAATCAGAGCGTGTGCAGAGCAGGAAACGCTGACTCTAACCCTCTGTGTGTGTCTGCAGGACTACCTGGGCTGCATCATCGACTGCGGCGCCCTGCCGCTGAGACCCGAGCAGGTCAGCACGCTGTTCTGCAACATCGAGGACATCTACGAGTTCAACAGGTAACTGCTCCTCTGTGCTGCTGTTACACGTTAGTGAGTAACTGTGACAGCAGATCGAATCAACAGTCTGTTTGTGCGTTTTGTTGTCTCTGGTTAACTGTCGGTGCTGTCGGTCGAGTACGAGTCGAAGAGTTTGGTCATTTTGCTGATTTTTTTTCTGCTGTTTCTGACAAAAAGTTTCTAAATTTCCTGGAAAGAAGTTCCAAATGTAGCACCAAATCACAACACTTTAAATTGTGAAGTAAAGACCGTACAATAGTACAACCGCCTATGAGCGAGTGCGGTGACAGCAGAGAGCGAGAACTTCCTTTAACCGGAAGAAACCTCCGGCAGATCCCGGCTGACTGTGAGCGGCTGGGGTGATTCTGACTGTGGTCCCCGAGATATAGACATATTTGCCTTAAATCTGCATCCTTTTGTATACAGTTAACCCTGTGAGGCCACAGCCTGTAAACTCCTGTCATGACTGTGTGTTGGAGGGAAATGAAAAGTAATTAAAAGTGGACACGAGGCTGTTTGTTTGTTTTTTATTTGAAAAATCTGCTCCACTGGTAACAGGAAACCCTGTGTGGGACGTTCAGTGTGTTGCAGTCTTAAAAACACCTCCTTGGTGACACGTTCTGGCTCCGAGTGTCCTAAAGACCTGCAGACAGGAGGACTGAGCCAAAGCGTGACCTGCTAACAGCTCGTAGCTGAGCTGATCCGTGTCGAAGGTTTGTCCAGAAGCAAAACGCTTTGCTGAGCAGGATGAAGTGTGAGGAGCAGAAAGCTGAGCAGGGCAGCAACACTGGGCTGCAGGTTTGATTCCCACCAGGATGCTTCACTATAAATGCTCACAGCTCGGCTCTGCGCGTCACGTCAGCTCACAGAGCTTCAAACACTCAGACGTGTGAAGCCGTTTCACTGCTGCTCGCTCAGCGCAGAGGCTGAGCATCACCTGCTGCTTTGGGCTACTGATCAGGAAGAGCGCAGGACCAGGGGCCTTACTGGGGCCTTACTGGGGCCTTACTGGGGCCAAAGTCTGGTTGGAGTGAGCCACAAAGAAATGTGGAACAAAGACCCCCCAAAGTATCAGAATGACTCCACCATTCTCAGGGAGACAGGGTGGTTCTTCTCAGATGATGATGGGTGATTAGTAGCTGGTGAAGCAATCTGAAAATGGCCAGCTGCGTTCACAGATGCATCATGGGAGTTGATGCCTCAGTGTGTGCATGCAGCCTGCAGTTACAGCTCCCTCGAACTCACAGCTCATCCAGAGGAACACATAGTTGTTCCCAAACTAGCTGAGAGAAGTGATCTCTCCCCCAGGAGACGTCCAATGTCCGAAACACCTCTGCTGACTGTAGAGGAGCAGCAGCTCCTCGCCGTGTCTCTAATGGGGAGGCCAGCCTTCCAAGGAAACTCGTTTGCACTGCTTACATCTGTGACCTCACTACCCCGAGCTTCAGGTTAGGGTCAGAGGTCAGGTTTTCTGACTGTCTTGTGAATGAGATGTGCTAGCAGGCTGAGCACCCGAGTACCACAGCAAAGCGTGAAATCCCCACAGTGGACCAGCGTTTCTGCCACACACATGATTACTAGGGTAGCACTGCCGGCTCATTCATGCTTAAACTTGCATAAAAACCTTACAGCACATTAGACATTTACAGAATTGAAACTTCACATGAACGCTGCATGCTCGTGGTAACCACAAACTCCACGAACGGTGCAGGCGGTCACATCGTTTCAGCTCTGCAGAGATTCACTGCAAAAGTACGAACTGAACTAAAGACTCTTGCAAAGCTCCAACAAATCAAATCCATCAGGATGTTTCACAGACATGTGTGAAACTCTGACAGAGAGACATCCTCGGCCACGCCCAGACGCATCGCTGCCAGCGTGAGT